TATATATATATATATATATATAGTGGGCCTATAAAATAACTTAAAAATTACTGTTTTCATGTTAACTGTTGTACGGGGGTCCGTTTATTGAAGCGGTCTTAGTGCTAAATCAGAGTTAGTTAACTCCGTATTAGAGGGAACTCTGATTTTCCGGTTTCACGAAGCCGACTAGACCGTGACGCTGACTCACTTGCTTTGGCCACATACGCCATGGAGCAAACCTGCTCCGTCGAGGTTTTAAGGTCCTAACCATATGCAGGGCGTGGCCGTTCGTTGAGGAGCCTGCGGACATGACAGCTCAGTTTCTTAAAAAAAAATTGATGCCAGGAGAGAATTCTGAGACCACGACTAGATAGTTTAGCTAAAGTTTTTTTGTTCGAGCGTTTCCGTTTTTCTTCGCAATCTATTACATAATTGAATTTGATTATCAGCCCACATTTCGTTCGCCAAACTCATTGTAGTCGTGCTCTTGGTACAATGTATTGAGCAAATACCTTGTATTATTAGATTATTGTAGATATTTTACGTTTTTTTATTACAACGGTGATGCTGAAAACGTATTCGAGGCAACGGTGTGCCGATGTGGTCGGAGCGTTGCCGTTGCGCTGAAACGCACACTTCCAGCAGTGCTGTGTAAAAAACTGCAAGTTTGACGTTGGTACACCACTACTGCAACACATCAGAAAAAGTGAATTATGAATAAATACAAACAGTATTTAAATCAGTAGTTGACAGTAGCTGAATTACAATTTCATACAGAAAACTGTCTTGTGTAACACAGACCAGACCACAGACCACAGACTGCAGAATTATTCAGACATATGAAGAGACAGCTAACGTCTGAGAAGATGATCATACTAATCTACTGTATTATCTCCAATATGGTGCAGAAGTTATTCTTCTCTGTTTGAACGATATTTTTGTATTTGGTGTTAATTTGCTACCAAGTCCTTTTTTAACCCTATTGGGTTAAATCTGGATTAAAATTTAACGACAAGATCAGGTCGTGGAGAGATTTCCACAAATTTTGGACAGTCTCACATTCAAAAAACAGATGGTCTGTCGTTTCCAAATACGTTTTGCAAATATAACAGTTTTCTACAACAAATTTAAATCTTCCTTTCATAAATTCGTTTGAGGGATAAATGTTGTTTATAGTTTTAAAATGAACTTCTTTACACTTTGGGGGGATTGGAAATCTTAAGTATTTAGTTCGAATAGTTGATATTTCAGATTTGTTATAATCTCTAAGATTGGGGGAGCTTTTTGTTCTACCTGGGTATAAGGTGTTTATGAAGTACAGCCTTAAAAACTTGTTATTACATTTTTTGTTTACGAGGTCCAGATCATCTATCGTCACCTTGTGTAAATTTGGTGAGGTATGTTCAAAATATTATTCTTAATCGATTGGATAAAGACTATTGGGATATTCTGAGAGACTATCTTGTATATTTCACTAGAGCAACACACCATATTTAGCATTAAAATCTTTCATTTCAAGAATTCCATTCATTATATGTATAACAGACCAAATTTGTTTTGTCACCCAGTCTTCCATAAACATAGACCTCACCCGACTCAATATCACCCTATTGTTCCACAATGAGACATTATGGGGGCTGAGTTTGTGGCCAAAGTGTTGATTAATGCAGTCTACAATTCAGTTTGAGTCTATTTGTATTTTCTGTGATATTAGAAATTATAAGACTTTATTTTATGTAAGGACGTGATACTGATTAAAATTCAAAACTAACAAAACAGACTGTATTTTACAGCACGAAGATGAAAGCAGATTCTTAAATACCCGAAACGTGACTTGAACAAACCTGCCCTCGGCTTCCTACCAATAATGACACATTTCGCGACCTTACTCCTGTAGTCTCTTTTTTCGACAACACGTGAACGCAACACGTGACCGAGTATCTCAGCAGTCGCGTTTAGTGACGTCAGCACAAGCGTTGTGCGCACGGATGTTACGTATTACAGCTGGGAGTTCTGTCTGCGAGCTTTAGGACCATATACATCTCTTATTCTTTAAGCAAACCTTAGATAAAAGGAAACATTTTAAGTACGATACGATTTTGTCAAAGGCAAAACGCTTTGTGGGCCGGTTTATTGGACGAAGCTAACAGTTAGCTTAGATGTTTTATTTGGAAACTAATCACATTTCATTATTTAATGACGATTCAACTTTCAGAAACTTACCGGTCATTGAGAGGAGATTTGGGGAATTAGGAGGAAAACTTTAAATCTTCAGGTGAACTTAGTCACGGCTGTCTGTCATAGAGGACTTTAGGTCTCAGCACGGTACAAGTGAAAGACCGACTTCCTTGTGCGTTCTAGGTCATTCTGTCGCGTTCACTAGTCAGCCAACTGTCAACCGAGATCTGAATGAAGAGTCTTCCGTACTTCTGTCGCGGAGAGGTCATCCGAGGATTTGGGAGAGGTAGCAAAGAGTTGGGCATTCCCACAGGTTAGTGGATCATTTAATCAGTAACGGGACAGTGGCCACATGTTACAAAGTCAATTCCAAAAGGCCTGAGCCGATAGCCAAAAATATATATAAAATACAATTGCATAAAAACAGACATATTAAACTACGTTACGTGCCTTACGGTTCTGAGTCATTTCTGACTTTCAAAAAACGTTTGTAGTATTAAATACATGATGCATTTAGGGCTCTGATGATGCAACGTTTTCATGCAGCCACTGAGAGCCTTTAATGTTAACCTCGTGTTAACCGCTTGACTATCGTGTAAATATGTGATATAGACATTCAAAAATCTACGTGTGCAAAATGAAACGATCATTTAAAAAAAGAAAGATCACAATTTAACTGTTTTAATAGTTTACTGATTATTGTGACTTTTTATGACGTAAACAAAATTATATTTATTCAATATCAGTTTATTTTAACTTTTAGAGTGTATTTAAATAAATAAAAACATCAAAGTCTGTTTTGTAATTGTCATCAATATGCATTGTGCATCATCTGCTACACTGTCACTGAACACTACACTGAACATGACCACGTTTTCATTTACATTGTCAAAAGCTTTAATTGTGTGAAACAGTTTTAAGTTTAAGTTTCTTTGTTTGTTTTTTTTCTTAATTTTCTCTATCCTTGCCTTGAACAGCCATCTTCCCAGACTCTGTGGTGGATAATCTTCCCGCAAATATAAACACAGGAATCTGTTATGGCTGGGCATGTGTGGGAAATGGCGACGTTCACAGAATGGTTATGAGCATCGGTTGGAATCCCTACTACAAAAACACCAAAAAGTCCATGTTAAGTTGCAGAGGAATTACTTTTGCACTGTTTGTTCTTTAGCCTGACTGGTAATACACATTACCAAGTATATTTATTTAAAGTATATTTTATGAAGATTATACAGGGTTTTTTCATGGTTTTAATTTGTGAAAGTGCAAGAGAGCATTTCCACATTTTCTATTTTTTCCCTGCCTTAATAAATATAAGAATACAGGTATAATATAATATCAGTGTTAATGCAAACTTGAAATACCTTGAAATGTCACATTAGCTGTTTATTTTAGACACTTGCCTTTTGACAGTAAATATGAAATATTTTAATTCTAGGAGACTCATGTGATTCACACGTTTAAGGAGGATTTTTACGGGGAGATTCTCAGTGTCGTCATGGTGGGCTATATATGTCCAGAGAGAACCTTCAACTCTCTTGGTACGTTACATTACTTCAAACTCCCTTTACAGAAAGTACATGTGATCTGTGCCTCTGCACAAATATGTCAGCAGTAGCTTTTTTAAAAATGTTATTTTAAATTCACTGCTGTTTCTGTCCCCTGTATATTCACTGTACATGAAAAGTCTTCAAACATAATTTGCTGCTCTCACAAAAATTCCAAATAATGTACCAATGGATAGATAGATAGATAGATAGATAGATAGATCGATCGATCGATCGATCGATCGTTCTTTATTAATCCCTTGGGAGCTCCCTTCGGGAAATTAAGGCTCCAGCAGCAGTACAGCACCAAACACAACAGTAAGAACACACAGATAAGTAAAGTACAATAAATACAACAAAATACTAAAAGAGTAGCAGCACACTGTTGAGAAACCTGAACAGTGGCTGTTAGTAGATTGGTAGGCTAGAAGTAGTAGATAGATAGGTTAGTGTTAGTAGATTAGTTTGTCATTATTGTTGCTTTGTGTAGTGTTGTAGATTGCAATCTCAATTATATTTTATTATACTATTGTTATTATTAAACTAAGTTAGTGTTACATATATATAAATATATGTATACTTATGTGTATACATATAAACTTATACTTACAAGAGTGGAGGCAGGTCCACACAGATAGATTATATTTTATGTAGAAGAGGTAATCTGAGGAAGATTAGAGACTGCAACGTAGTGGCAGGCGATAGTATAGCCACTACGAGTGTGCGGACTTTCTCTGCACACTCTCCTGGATCTCATCATTCCACCACCAGGTCTCTTTGTCCTCCTTTCTCTGCCCAGAGGACATACCTAGCACCTTCCTACCTGTCTCCCTAATCACTGCAGCTGTAGTCTCCCAATCATCTGGGAATTTATCAACGCGGCCCAGAACTGCCCTTACTTCCTTCCTGAAGTCTTCACAACATGTCTCTTTCCTTAGTTTCCACCACTTGATCTTCTGCTCTGTCTTCACTCTCTTCCTTTTTGTCACCTCCATCGTCATTTTACACACTACCATCCGATGTTGTTTGGCTACACTCTCACCTGCCACCACCTTACAGTCTCTAATCTCCCTCAGATTACATCTTCTACATAGAATATAATCTATCTGTGTGGACCTGCCTCCACTCTTGTAAGTCACCCTATGTTCCTCTTTCTTTTGGAAATATGTGTTTACCACAGCCATTTCCATTCTCTTTGCAAAATCTACCACTGCCTGTCCTTCTACGTTTCTCTCCCTAACACCAAACCTGCCTATCACTTCCTCATCTCCTCTGTTCCCTTCCCCTACATGACCATTTAGGTCTGCTCCAATCACCACTCTCTCTCTCCTGGGGATACTCTCTACCATCCAATCTAGCTCCTTCCAGAACTTCTCCTTTTCTTCCAACTCACAGCCCACCTGTGGGGCATAACCACTAACAACATTAATCATCTCTCCTTCTACTTCTACCTTCACACACATCAACCTGTCTGACTCTCTTTTCACCTCTACCACATTTCTTACATATTCTTCCTTTAGGATCACCCCTACTCCATTTCTCTTCCCATCTGAACCATGATAAAACAGTTTGTAGCCTCCTCCAATGTTTCTAGCCTTACTGCCCTTCCACCTGGTCTCCTGCACACACAAAATATCTACTCTTCTTCTCTCCATCACATCAGCTATTTCTCTACTTTTCCCTGTCATTGTACCTACATTCAAAGTTCCAAACTTCAGACTTCTATTCTTCATCTTTTCTCTTTTTCTCCTAACCAAATGTCCTCCTCTTCTTTTCTGTCTCTGACCAACAGTAGCCCAATTTCCATCGGCGGTCGTTGTTAACCCGGGCCTCGACCAATCCGGTATGGAAATCCTCTTTCCTCCTGTAGGTGTCCTTAACCTCCTTCGTGCAGTGTTTCACCTCCCTTTGTGCTGTTCTCATCTCCTCCCTGTTGTTTCTCCTGAAGGCTTCGTCTTCCTGTTGAGGACAGCTTTGACTTCCTGTGTTACCTAGGTTCATTATTAGAGTAACACCGTACAGTCTTTGCAGGGGCAACCACATCCTAACAGAAACTAAGGTAATCCGTCAGGCGGTGGGTAGCTCCCTCGATGTCCTCATCGTCTGGACTCAGTAGTACATCCCAGTCTGTGGTCAAGGCAGTCTCTCAGTTCATCCTCAGCTTCAG